CAGTCTTGTAGCCACGAGGTCGGTCGGTGAACAGTGGCAAGTGGCGCAGGCTACTGGTATACGTTAGTCTAGCCCTGCATGGTCAACAATCTAAAGCAGCATGCGGCCATGGTCTTCCGCGAAGCAACAAATGCAGACCCAGCTTTTCTTCAGGACATTTCAGTATGTGACCAACTGAAGTCACGAACCACTTGGGCTTGACTAGTTTATATTACGCGATTAAGCACGGTGTGGTACAGGCACCAATTCAATCCTGATCGCGAAGATCTGCGCGGCTGAGAATGTTCACTCTCATCTCGTTCTTTTTCTGGGGGGCGTGGCTTTGGGGATCAGCTTTGTTCTGTTCTTTTCAAGACCATGCGACACTTCCATGATGATGCAAAACAGTTTTGGCAAGCCCTATGGCGTTTTCACATTCCTGCTTGTCAAAGGTGTTGCAGGCGACGGCGGACAACACAGGGCCTATTGGTTGTGGGCGAGCCTGGCTGCGCAGAAAGAAATTGGTTGCTAAATGTATGTATGTACAGTCTTTCACACTCAGTTTGCTTAGCTTCGAGGTTCGATTGCAAGTACATCTCCTGGTCCGTTCTGTGTTGTGAATTGGGATGGGGAAAAGGCTTGAAAGGAGATCCGACCGAACCAGTAGTTCTGCTTTAAACTTGCTGATCATCCAAAACAAGTTTAAAAATGATCCCGTACCCAACACATTGGAAAAGGTTCTTATATATATCTCAGCTGCAACTACCACGACATAATTGCGGTCTGTCAAGCGAGAAAAGCCATTTTGCAGCTCAGCCCGAATCTCAAGAAACTTGCCCGACAGCGGCTCTAAATGTCGAGAGCAAATCAAATTTCCTCGGAACCTGAGGCAGATCCCGTGTCGCTGCCATCCCTTTTGGTGGCCTCTTCTGTCACCTCGGCCTCGTCATTTCGCTCGGTCTCTGTCTCGGCCTCTTTCTTTCGCTCACTCTCTCCGGGCCCCTCATGGTCAGACAGGACTGGAGGCGGTGAGGCATCATCAGCGGTGCCGAATTTGCGGTAAAAACGTTCATCGCTCACATCTCCAATCCACACCGTCAGCTTCTCGGCCATGTGCTTTAGGACGTATTTCTTCTGGGTGGAGTTGCGGCAAATCAACAAACAAGGTCGTCGCTGCCGAATGGATTCCAATGCGAAGCTCCCGTCCCCCACAGAGAAAATGATGACCCTCTGTGGGTCCCAGCAGGTGTGAAGCAGCGATTTCCAAAAAACAGGCGGCCTCACAACAAATACTCAACATACGACCTTTTCACAAGATCATTTTGCTTTGAGTGATCCCCACAGTGGTAATACGGTAGACTATTTGGATACTGATATCATGCGACATCCTATTTTGCAATTATGCTTGATCTTTCGCGACACCTTTTCTGGCAATTTGTTGGCAAAGATGCTGACATTGTGGTAAACCATTCTGACATAACTTGTGGCATTCTACTTGAAACTATTTCTGACATTCTCTGTGGCCTTCCTTCAGAGATTCTATCTGGCGAAGCTTTTGACATATTCTATTTGGCGAGCCTCCTGGCATACCTTCTGGCAAATCTTCTGACATTCTATCTGACATACCTTCTGACATTTTATCTGGCATATCTTCTGACATTCTATCTGGCATATCTTCTGGCGGTCTGGTTCGCACTACTGATATGACATGTTCTGGATTCTGACATATCTGCCATACATTCTGACATTTCATCTTGCATGCCTTCTGACATTCAAACCAGTCGATCTGGACTCTCTCTGCCATTTTGCCATTGGTATTGTCGGTGGCATTCTATGTGGCATATCTTCTGACATTCCTACTGGCATTCTATCTGGCATTCCTTCTGACACTCTACCTATCTGGCAAGCTTTCAGCACATCCTCTGGCGTTCTCTACTTCTCTGGCATGTCTTCTGCTTTCATCTGTGGCTTCGGGCCCGGGCCCTCGGCAGTTTCAATCTGGCACCATATATGTATGTATGCAGTATACTGTATACAGGTGTACATATATATATATATACATATGGCTTTTCGCTTTGACTTTGACTTTGGGTCCGGCGCCCCTCAGCAGTCTTGATCTGGTGCCATATGTCAGGCCCTTCTGTCGCGCAATTCTCTGAGCGCGTGTCTGTAGATGTATAGCTGTTGGCACTGTGTCTGTTCTGTGTGTGTGCCTCTGTGCGTATGAGTATGTTTGTGTCCCGGTGTGTATATGTAGTATGTGTATGAAGTGTGTGGGTGTGTGTCGCGACGCCCTTTGATAAAATCTCAAGACCCTCACCTGGCAAGTGGGTAACAAGGCAACTCACCCAGGGCCACCTACGCTCTGAACGAACAAATGTACGGCAACAACCAATCCGACACATGCTGTCCTCTCAAAGAAATTCATCGGGGTCATCTGAGATGGGGCGATGTCAGCCGTGAGGACCTCACATGACATGGCAGCACTGGGCCGGCTAAATTCTGAGCTACGAAGTGCATCAGTCTTAGCACGTCTTAATTCAATCTGTACAGGCCATGCCTCCGGCTTCTCATCTGATAGGACGTGCCGTGTTGAAATTGCAGGCATCACCTTGCGCCCATTAAGCGCCATGACAGACCTACACACACAGCCTCAGAATCTATCTGGCCACAACCGTTTGCATGTCTTCAAGCCTAGCAACAGTCTCCTTGACTTCCCGCTGGACGCAAAAAAGATCTTTTGGGTCCACGCTCGGGATCTGCAGGAAACCACTGGCTGTGCTGTTGATGCCACTGGTCTTCAGGAACTTGTGCTCGCGACTCTTCACATAGTCGGACCGGCGGGCGATCCACAATCTTTCAGACCCAAACCCCAGCTCACCTACACCCAGCGTCTTGCGGCGCTTGGCAGCTGCGGCATCTGACCTAGGAATGATTTTGAGCAACAAGACCGGCGTAGCGACGTGGCACATCATCCCTAAACTTTACGATGTACGAACCATACATTATTTCCAGTTGCAGCCTCTTTACCTGTGGCCTGCATCCGTAACTTACAATTCCATAAGAAAAAGGGCTGAAGGAAGTGATGCTAGACATCGTGTTGGAACTGACGTTGGACCTAATGTTTCAATCTCGCCGACAAGCTGCCCCTTAGAGCTCGCCAACCCAAGTCAAACTCAAAGGTGTCAGAGGCAAAACAACAGCGGAAGCCAATCCTTCAAGAAAGACCAATACTGGGGCGGAACAGGGCACACCATAACGAAATAGGCCAATAGAAGCCAGAACATTCTAAACCAATCAGAAAAGCAAAGCAATCACCAAACAGGTAGATGTGGGGGCCAGAATCGTTCTGAACCCCTTAGTAACACAGCAAAACAAGCGCCAAAAATCCAATAATGAACTAGAAAACTTCTGGGCCGTTCATGGACACAGCAAACAAGCGTCAGACAAACCAATAATAGACCAGAACGATTCTGAAATCTGCCCACACCGCTTGTCGGTGCAGGGCGTGCTATGGGGCTCTTAAGCTCTGCCGCTATGCAAATAGCTTTGCTAGGGGGAGCTTTTTTTTCGCGCGTGCGCGGCTATGGTTGGGCTGCAGGGCCACTGGGGAGAGCGTTTTGGAGGTACATTTTTGGATG